TAGGGGAGCCCCAATATAGGAGAAGGCCCTTTGTAAGGGTACCCCAGCAGGCTCATTTATGTGTTACTTAGTGTCTCTTCTGCTGTTATAACAATACCACAGTCTGGGTGATTTTTTTTTAGTCAGAGTCTCACTTTGTCACCCAGGCTGGAGTGCAGTGGCATGCTGCTCACAGCCACTGCAGCCTTGACCTGCCTTGAACAGATGATCCTTTGACCTTAGTCTTTCAAGTAGCTGTGCACCACCATGCCTAGCTAATTTTTTTATTTATTATAGAGACGAGGTCTCGCCATGTTTCCCAGGCTTGTCTTGCATCCGTGGGCTCAGGCGATCCTCTATCCTCCACCTCCCAAAGTGCTGGGATTACAGGCATGAGCCACCACACCCAGCTTGGATGATTAATAAAAACTTATTTGGCTCACAGTTCTGGAGGCTGGGAAGTCCAAAAGCACAGCACCTCTGTCTGGTGAGGCCCTGCTTGTTGCATTATCCCATGGTAGAAATGCAGAAGGGCAAGAGAGCATGTGTGAGAGACAGCTCACTTTTATAATGCCACTCCAGTGGCAACTAACCCAGTCCTGAGATGGTAGCATTAATCCACTCATGAGAGCAGAGTGTTCATGACCTAACCATCTCTCACAGGCCAACACTGTCACAAGGCATTTAAACTCCAGCGTGAGTTTTGGTGGGGACATTTAAGCCATAGCATTCCACCTCTGGCTCCCAAAATTTGTGGTTTTTTCACATGCAAAACAAACTCATTCCATCCCAATAACCCCAAAGTCTCAACTCATTCCAGCATCAGCTCAAAAGCCCAAAGTCTCATCTTTAGGGAGATGTTCTGCTGGGAAGGGCATGTACAGGCAGCAGGTGCTCATGATCTGAGCAGCTCTGAAATGGCCGCCCCTTCCCTCCCCTGCCACCTCCTCCATCCCACAGCCTGGGGTGGCTCTTTGAGGAGTGCCTGTAAACACCCAGTCTGCATACCAGGAAAGCCACCCATCATCACCCCTCCACTGAAAGACAGGCACTCCAAGACTCAGCATGCCTTTGGGAGCAGGGACCTGAGATTAGAAGCAGATCATTAGAGCAGATCCCTGGAGTGTGGTCTGTACTCTGGGAGGTTGGGGGGGTGTCCTCTTGACCCTACAGACTCTGCTCCATGGAACAGGGTCCAGTTGGAGCAAGGCTGGGTTGAGGAGCCCAGGACCAGGTTTCACTGAGCACCGCCATGCCCTCAGCCCCTCCTGTCAGGGGTCTCCTGACACCTCCCTCTACCCCAGGACCCCAGGCCTGCCTCTAGAACCACCTCTGTGCCCAGCAGGAAGGGAGGAGCTCTTTGGCCTCTGATGCCCAGCATTTATTTCCTTTGACCTTCCTTTTCCTCTTTAAAAAGGGCCCTTCACTGGCCTCATCCTCCCTCTCCTCTTCTTCCTCCCCTCAACAACCGCAGGAGTCCGACCCTGTCTTCCCAGCTCCTGCCTGTCCCTCCCGCAGCTCCACAGAGAGACAGGCAGAGACAGAGGGACAGGGTCAGAGAGAGCCAGGGATAAAGAGGAGGAGCCCAACTAGATACTTGATGTTGGCATTAGCAGGGTTGCTCCATGACTTCTAATCAGCCAAATTCTCTTCAATGTTACAGTGCTTAAAATAGAAAGTATTTACATTTTTTGACAAAAAGAACACCTTGGGTTTGACTTTCTTACGTTTCTATACTAATTCCAACTCTTCTTGGGGTTAAAAGACCCTTACCAATGAAAAGAGAGTTATGCCACCTGTGAAGACAGCGGACAGTCCACATGACTGCCCTACCCTCACTTCTGATGCCCATTGTAGAGTCCCATGTTCCCCACGGCCACCTTCAGATTTGATAATTCTCTAGAAGGATTCCCAGAGCCCACTGAAGCTGTTACACTTGTGGGGGTTATGGTTTATTACAGGGAAAAGATACAGACTAAATCAGCACAGGAAAGAGGCCCACAGAAAGAAGTCCAGGAGAGTCCACCCACAGAGATTCTAGTTGTCCTTCCCAAGGGGGTCATGAGGTTGTGGGCAGCATAAACCCTGTAAATCCCCCTGCAACACACACACACACACACACACACACACACACACACACACACACACACACACACAACATGTATCAACATGCATAGAGCCTCACCAATCAGGGACACTCCCCGGGCTTGGGGATCTGTCACATGGATCTAGCTGGCCCTCACATGGCTGGGCTCAGTCTCATCTCTATCCCCTCTGGAGGTGTAGCTGATGCCACGTGGCCTGAAGTCCCCTCCTTAGTCACATTGCTAGACCATCTTGTGGGGCTTGAGGCCCCTGGTAGACAAGGACATTCTTATCAGGCAGGACATTCAAGGGTTTAGCAATGACCTTCCAGGAGCTGAGGGCAGAGGCCAGGTCTACCTTTGGGCAAGGTCAAATTTCTTATGCACACCACTCTAAGCAATTTTCAGAGTGGCCTCTGTCCATTGAGACCCTTTCTCCCTCTTCCCTACATGCATCCAAGTCTTTCGCACTGGGCATAGGCTGAGACTGCATTCCCTACTTGGGTGGCAATGGTGGTGGTGATCCCCTTTCTGGACACGTCCTTATGATGGTTGCATGCCCCCCCCATTTCTTGCCCCTTCCTGTGGGCAGCAAGCTGGCAACCACAGACCCTGGCTTCCATTAGCAGAAAAAGATAGTACCCGAGGTGGTAAGGAACTTGGAAGGTCCTGAATAGGCAGGTGAAGCCCAGCCACCCACTGCATGCTTACTTGAGAGATAACCCTGCATTTGTTGAACCTGTTTGTTACAGCAACCTTACCTTATATTGACTCATACACACTCCTAAACCCATGGCTTTCTTGGTTTGTTGGGGTTTCTTCACCCCCAGAGGCAATGGTCAGCACTCAATAGTAACCTTGCTGATATAAGGGAGACCTAATCTCGGCTGAGGCTTGAGGCACCAGAGGGGGATGTCCCAAGCACCTACGTAGCCTGGCGCCTGCCGTCTCACCCTCACACCAGCTCTGTGACGTGAGCTTGATGAATAAAAAGGGGACTACAAGCGTATGGCGACCCTGCGATTTGAACCTGTGCCCCGCTGACTCAAAGATCTGGATCTGCAGGATGAGCCCCTACGGGCTTCCTGGATATCCCTGCCCCCAGGCCTAATTCTGCTCCCAAAACTGAGGCAAACACAGCTCCTCCAGGTGCTTTAGTGTCCCCACTCTACATGAAGAAGTGAGACGGAGTAGTCTATGATACCTGGATGGGTGGGTGCAGTGGCGGTGGGGAATGGAATGAGGGGGAGCCCATATCAGGGGACCTCCCATTCAGAGGGCCTGGGCTGTGGGGTTCATGGTATCTATGGTGAGTCTCAGCCTCTCCGTCCTGTGCCTCCCTGCTCCACTTGGCCCTCCAGGGAAATTGGGAACACACTGACACAGAGCAGCATCTCAAATTACTTTAAGTGTTTCCTTATTAAAAGGAAAAAAAACCATCTACGGCTTCCAGCTTTTCATGCGAGAGGTAGTATTTCCAAGAGAAATTACTGCCTCTCAGGAGCACCGTGGTGTCCCAGCCTCCTGTTCCTGCCAATTTCCTCTCCCTATTCTTTCAGCAGTTTCATTATTTAAAAGAAATACAAGAGAATAATAGGGTGGAGGCGGCCCTTTCATCACCGAGTGCCATGCTCAGGGCCGCCACCCGCTCTGCGCAAAGAGGGTGACGACATTTCCTGGCAGCAGGTGGCTCTCTCTGCTCATTCTCCTCTTGCTTCCTGCCCTCCCCAGGCCTCCTCACAGTGGCAGGAGCCAGGAGGTGTTGAGCCCACAGGTGTAGAACTCCCCAGGCTGAACTGGGCTGGGCTAGTGCCGCCCCCGGCTGCCCCCACATCTTGGTCCAGGACCAGCCAGAAAGCAGAACAACCCCAACCCCACCTGAGGGGCGGGACCCTCCACCTGCGAATGACCACGGTGGCTGTGAGGGTCCTTCTGACCAGAGTGCCATCCTCAGCCATAGAATCAAACTTTAACCTAGCTCTGAGGGTAGGCTGTAGGTGCATGTAAAACCCATCGTCTGACCACAAGGAAACTCATTCTGGGTAACTGAGTGGTCCTGCCTTTATCAGTTGAAAGGCTGTAAGAGCAGAGCTGGGGTTCCCCTGATGGAGAAAAAACACCACCTGTGGATGCCAGCTTCAGCCCGCACCACAGTGTTCTGGCCTGCCCGGTAGATTTTAAAGTGGCCCTCACAATTGAGAAAGACAGTTCCTTGCAATTAATCTCTCCCTATCTGTCCTGCTTTTCATTTACACTGATGGGTATAGGATCTTGAGTCAACCCCAGGCCATCTTTCCATCCCCTTATACAAAGGCAGAGTAAGCTGACCTCCCACAGGGCAGTGAGTACCCCCATTTCTAAGTCCTTGAGCCCACACATGGATAACACTAGAGATGGTTCACCTTGTTTTGCAGATGAGGAAACCATCCTGGCTCAGAAAGACCAAGTTCATTATCCTGTAGCCAGGACTGCTCAGTGTTCTCTCCCAGCTGGCCTCCTGCACTGACCAGGTTCTCTGGGCTCCAGAGCCTGAGAAGGCTGTGTGGGCCAAGACCTGGTAGTAGAGTCCCCCACTCACCCTCCATGCCCTGGCAGGACTTACAGAGGGACAAGCCCCAGCTCAGCATGAATAAGGGCTCCCCCTGTCAGCCTTCACCCCACCGATGGCTGCTTCAGGCCTGAGGGTGGGGCTAAGCCAGGCCTGGTGGGCCACAGGGGGATATGTGGGGATGGACACCTTAGGGTGCTTCCAGCCTGAGGGTCCAGGACCCTGATGGAGGCTGCTCTTCAGGACAATGGGCAGTGCTTCCCCAAGCCCCCAGAGACCACTCATGTCATCCACTGGGGCTCCAGGGTCTCTTTAGGCTGGGAGGCCCCACTCTGCAGTTCCACTCCAGCCCAGCCCAAGTCAGCAGAGAAACAGCAACACAAACGCTCTGAGAAGTTTCATTGTTTTATTAACAAAATCTTACAAAAAGAGTCTGTCTTCAGGGTAAGATGGCAGAGTGTACATGGCCTGGGTAGACATTTAAGGCCCGGTCTGTGTGTTGGGGGGAGGTGACCACACCCTCTTGAGGTTCCTGGGGTCTCCCCAAGCCCCAGGGCTTCCCTGCAGCCTTTGAGTGTAGGTTATGGCTTATGTGCAAAAATAAAATCTGGGGGACTGGTAGGGCGCAGAACCTGTCGGGGTGATCTGCAGAGATGGTACTTCAGAATTTGGAAACCCCAGCGGACAAGGAAGAAGGCAGAACCCCCAACCAGGGCCTCCTCAGGCGGCAGGTGTGAGTAGACTGCCAGCACCAGGTTGTTGGTGCTGTGGCAGGGATGGGGGTCCAGCCCTGGACAACACCAGGCAGGGCAGTGTGCCTAGAACAGCCCCAGGAGCAAAGGCTTCTGGGATCTCCTGGGGTTGGGTTTCGGGTCTCTGGGCCGGAGCAGGGGCTGGCTCCAGCCTCAGGGCTGGTGAAAGGCTCTGGCAGAGATGAGCACGCAGCGGGCAGGGCTTCTCCTGCTGGGAGGGAGGTATGGCCCAAGGCGACCAATCTCCAACTCTGGCTGCAGTGGCTCTGGGGGCGGGCAGCTGGTGGCCAGCGGGGCGGGCTTAGTGGCAGGCCCTGGCCCGCACACTGGCTTGTCAACCCCGTCAGCTCTTGGGGCCGAACTGGGGGCGCTGCCTTCTGCCACAGTGGCCTTTTCTCTGCAGTTCCCCTCCCTGGGCTGTCTGGGGTATTCTCCTCCTGTGCAGACAGCTTAAAAGATGAGAGGGCGGGGAGGTGCCAGGCATAGCAGCAAAGACTCTGTGGGAGCCTTGAGACCTGAAAGTCGAAGAAACAGGACGGTCAGGGCACTAGTGGGACAGCAGCCAGAGCTCTACAGGGAGGGGCTGGAAATGGCAGAGGGAGCTGCTCTCTCAGGGTGGAAGCCCTAGGACCCCAAGTGAGCCGCTCAGCTTGCCCAGAGTGTAGAGAATGCCCTGGAGCTTGGAGGATTTGGGGGCCTGGGGAGGAACTCATTTGGTCAGGACAGCTGAGGAACAGGGTTTGAGTGTTACCTGTTGTCATCTCCTGGCTCCAAGGGTGTCGGCTGCTGCCTCAGCCGGATTTGAGGACTCAGCTCCTCTGGGACCCTTCGCCTGCCACGGGTGAGTCATGGAGCCGAGCTCCGATCCCTCTCCAGGCTGGCGTGAATCACTGGTGCTGGCGGAGAGAGAGTATAGATCTATGTGAGAGCTGGCTCAGCAAACTCCTACAGCCCCCTCTCATTCTTCCCTAAGGCCCCTCTGCTCTTCCCCCCTCCTCTCCTGCCACCCCTACCCCTTCCCTGTATCTAACTTGCTGGGGACACCTCTGAGTCTCCTTGGGCTCTCCTGAAAAATGGCCTCTGTGCCCTGCCAGCTCTAAGATGCCCCCCGGGTGGAGCCATGGGGCGGAGGCTCACCTGAGTGGCCAGGAGGCACTGGGATGTCAGGTCTGTTGCTGCTTCTGCATGTGGGGCTTCAGCTCTGGCCTGGGAGGAGGAAGCCAGGCTGCTTGAGGCTGACCAGCTGTCCTGGGAGGCGAGGAGGGTGCCAGCTGGTTCTGGGGATTCCAGGAGAGTGCGTCGTCACTGGAAGTCAAGTTTCCCTCTGCACTGGTTCTGCCTTAGCTTCTGCTCTGGGGCATCCTGTGAGCTTGGTGGCCGCTGGCCCATGCTCAACAGACACTTGGTTTTCTGAGTGTCCAGCGGGCCCAGGAGTTGTAGCAGAATGAGGAGACTGGGGCATTCTATGATGGCCTGATTGTGTGGAGGATGGGCCCAGGCCAGGAAGACAGACGGAGGGGAGGGGGCGGCAGGAGCCCTGTAGGGGAGAGGGACTCTTTTGCCATTTGAGGCATTGCCCACATCTGAATAACATGAGTCTGTGCGAGTTGGACCAGGAGCACAAAGGAGTTGCCCAGCTGACCCTGGGATTCTCTTGCAGGAGTCAACCCCAGCTCAAAAGTCCTTGTTGGCAAAGGCCACGGGCTGGGTGTGGTGGGCAGGCTGGGGGCTCCGGGCTACCCTCTATTCGGGCTGGGTCCGATCACTGGCTACGGACTCGTTGGTGAGGGCAGGTGTGACAGCCTCGGCCTCATCCTCAGCAGGGGGATGGGGGCCTGCCGGCTCTGATGCCTGCTCCAGGCCGTCCTGCACCTCCATGCCCCTCTGGATGAGCTGCTCCAGGGTCTTGGGCAATGGGTGGCGCAGGAAGCGCTTGAGCTTGGGCTGCAGGGTGCCCACCACGTACTGGATGATCTCCTCTTCCTCGGCGTCCACGTAGAGGGTCTGGTACAGGTCCCGCTTGCGCCACAGGAACTGGTCCAGTGGCTCACCCTGCTTCTGCGGCAGGTCCAACTCACGCTGGATGGCCTCCCGAGATAGGGTGCCTTCGCTATACTGCAGGAACTCTTTCTTGAACTCCACCCAGTTCTTCACCGAGCCCTGCTTGAACTCCCACCACTTCTTGGCAGGCCCATTCATGTGGTTCTGGATCTGCGACAGCCAGTACTCCTCGGTGCCACCCACCTGTCGCAGGTACTCTTCCAGGTGGCTCAGGAACTCCCGAGGGTCCTCGAAGATCTGTGTGTCCACGCCAGGGCTGGGCTGCCCATCTTCGCCCTGCACCCACGGCTGGTACTGCTGGGCCTCAGCTGGCTCCTGGCCGGGCAGCTCCCCGGCAGCAGGCGGCGGCGTGATGGCATAGGGGCTGACCGTGTAGTCGTAGCCATCGGCCTCGTAGCTCTCGGGACCCCCCACGCCCACGGAGACGGTGTGGCGGGCTGGCTCGCTGCCCACCGGGTACTTGCCGCCCATGGACTCCAGGCGGTCGGCCCAGCGCTCCAGGCGGTAGAACACCTCCCGCCACACGTGCATCTCGCGCTTGACCCAGCGCTCCAGGTTGGCGATGGTCTCCTGGCAGCGGTACAGGCAGGCCTTGATGGACTTCTTCCAGCGCTGCGAATCGCCCGTGGGCACGTAGCCGTCCAGGTTGTTCTCCAGCTTGCCCACCGACCTGTGCAGCCCCTTCAGTTCACGCTCCACCTGCTTGGACACCTCCGTCAGCAGGTGCCGGTGGGTCCTCCGCACGTGCTCCAGCATCTCGGCCCGGCACTTACCTATCTGCAGGATCACGTTGGGCTTGGCCGCCGGCCCGCCCCGCGGCCCGGGGTAGGCGTGGAGCCCCCCGCTCGTCATGTGGTCCAGCTCCATCTGCGCTCAGGTGGCCGGGCGCTCCGGACAGGCGGCAAACTCTTCTTGGGGCGGACGGAGGGAGAGCGCTGGCGGCCGGCGGTGCCCCGAGGCCTGCGTCGGAGGGTCCGCGTTGGAGCTGCCCGGAGCGTGTGTCTGTCGCAGTGGGACCGGAGGTGGGGCCGGCAGAGAGCGCCCGGCGGCAGGTCCTACTCGGCAGCGGCTGCTAAGGGCGGACTCAGCGCCAGTGCTCTGCGCTCAGCCGCAGCCGCCGGCTCTTTATGCCGCCAGAGCGGCCCGTGGGCGGACCCCTCGCCGAGCCCCGGCTCTCATTGGCCCAACCGCAGGCTCCCCGCCAGCGCCCCGCCCGCGCCCTTGCAGGCCCCGCCTCCCGCGCCCACTCGCGCCCTCCCCGCGGCTCGGAGGCAGGGCCCGCCCCCTGCACACATGGCCGGACCCGGGGTGACTAATCCCTCCGCGCGCGCTGCACCTCCCACCCCGATGGTTGGACTCATTCAGCCTGCGGGGACAGGAGAGACTGTGCAGCCAACGCCCCCCCCTCACTAGCTCTGGGGAGCCAGGAACGGGCAACCCAGGCAGGTTATCCGGTTACCGCCTGCCCTCCCCCCGCCGCCCCCAGGGTCTCATGCTCAACTTCCTCCTCGCCACTAGCCTCTCCCTTTCCTGAGAGGGTAGTGTGGGGGGAGCTGGACACCGATCTCCTGAGTCCTCACTGCCCCTGGTCTAGCCCCCTCTGGTTTTGCAGGATGTTCAGTCAAGCCCTGGCAAGCACCGTCCCCCATCACACCCCCTTACCCTGGACTGAGGGGTTCAGTGAGTCTACACAAGGGTGTGCGTTCCTAGATGTGACTTTGAGCTCCTGCCCACCCCTGCCTCCAGGACTTAAATCCTGGGCTTGGGCTGGTGCTCTGTGCTCTGTGCGTGGGACATGCTGCCTGGCTGAGGCTCTCTATCTGGACACCTGGCCTTGATGTGAATGTGTGACACCTGTCCCTGCGGCAATGGCTGAACAGGACTGCCCGATGCCCCTGCGCTCAGGTCTTTGGTGAGTCCCAAGACCTCTGTGTTTCCAGGAAAATCTGGCTGTGGCTACCTGGGGGTAGGGGGGAGGGCGCTACAGGGATGAAGGTGTCATTCAGCCCACAGAAGAAAACTGGGCCCTGAATCTCTGGAGCCTAGTCAGAAGCTCCAAGACTTCTAAGAAGATGGAGAAGGGAGGAGGAGGGAAGGAAAGAGGGAGAGGGAAGGAGGAAAAAAAGGAGAGAGGAGAGGGGAGGGGAGAGAAGAGGAGAGGAGGGAGGAGGGAGGAGGGAGGAGGGAGGAGAGAGACGGAAAGAGGTGGCAGCAACGCAGTGCAGTCAGGAGAGCCTAGGAAAGCAAAGGACCATATAAGGATCGGGGCTCCGGAAGCTGAGATTCCCTAGGGAGGGAGGCCCCCTCTGCCTGCCTGGCAACCTGGTAGCGGCAGAGGGACGCTGTTCCTGGGTTACTCTCATGCAGGCTGGTCGGGAATGGGGTCCTCAGATGTCTGTTCCCCACATCCAGAGGCACACCCACAATCACTGACAGTCAAGACACCTTGTCCCTCACTGCCAGTGCCCCTTCCCTCTCAGACATACACGTACACACACACAAAGCTGCACACTCATATTCCCCGACACTCATACTCCCACATGCACACTCATACCCCCCACTCACAGCCCTACATACACACTCATATCCCCCACTCACAGCCCTACATACACACTCATACCCCCCACTCACAGCCCTACACTCATACCCCGCTACACCAGCCGCCCCACCCCCACCCCCAGTTCCCCCAGCCTCCTCTGTCTTATTCACACACTGGGAGCACAGGTGCCCACATTCCTTGGAATCCTGCTCCCTGTCCACCCTGGGAGCCCCCTTCCTCTCTGCTCTCCCAGGGAGTCCTCTCCCCTCAGAGCCAGTCTGTCTTCTTCCTTCCGCCCTTGGGGGGAATGTCTTTCTGGCAAAAATCCCCCAAAAATGGCTCTCCTGGCATTTCTAATTAAAGGCAAGTGGGTGGACAGAGAAGGGAGGCGGAGGGGCACCTCAGAGCTGGGAGGGGGAGACAGGCAGAGAAGCCGCCAGCGCAGGGACCAACCCAGAGCCCTCCCACTGTTCCCACTGTGGAATCCCAGGCAGAGGAGGCTACAGGCAGGGTGTATGTACTGTGAGATGCCCAGCACCTGGTCAGCAAGCATCCCGGCCACTGCAGGTCTGCATGAGCCTGGAGTGAGCCTGGGTCTGAGCCTGAAAGTGCTGGTCTGAGGAATGGTGCACTGACCATATGTGTCCATTGTGAGAGCCAGCACTTTAGTGACCAGGGACCAGCCCCCCATCCCCTACCACCACCATAGTTTACAAGCCCTTGTGGTACTGAGTCGCCTGACTGGCTATTGGCCCCAGCCAGGGCACTCTGCTCAGGCCTCTGGCCAGCAGTGGCCTCCAGCATCCCCCTCACCCCCACCTGAGGCAGCTGCAACTAACAGGACTTGGGGGAGGGGGAAGCTGAAGAGGAGATGGGACTGGGGGGGGATGCGTGAGCTAAGTTTGAAAATTGTAACCTGGGGACGACAGCATGAGCTGGCACTGCTCCCTGGGTCTGGAAGGCCAGCACCAGCCCCTGTCTGGGGAGCCAGGCCTAGAGAAGGGGGACCAGCTCCCAAGGGCCCCAGCCAGCAGGGCAGGGCTGGGCATGAGCCAGACTTCTTGGTGAGGATTCCTGGTGCCCAGTGCCATGGGTCCCTGACCACCCCTGCTTCCCTAAGGAGAGAGACAAAGGTGAGGTTGCCAGTCAAGACCATGTGGCCATGAGAGATCACGGGGCCTGTTCTGGACAACACAAGGGTAGATGGGGGTGTGGATCACATGGAACCCCCCTTCCCTACCCCTGCCCAGCAGGGTCTGCACAGAGGCTGTGAGCACACGCTTGAGCTGACAAGTGACAGGCAACAGCCACTGCCGGAACACTTAATCGCTGCCCAATTATCGCTCCAGAAGCCCTCACCGAACCCCCGCACTGGAGCCTTGAAAAAAGAGGCCAGGCTGGTTCCCTGCTGCCTGAGGTGGGGATGGACCTCTTATAACAGGGGTTTGCCCGGCCCTTTTCTCCAGCCCACTCCCACTCTTGCCCATTCCCTGGCAAGCTGAGGTGAGCGTCAGGCCCCCAGTTCCCAGCTTCACCCAGAGCAGGATGGCCCAGGGTTGCAGGCTGGGGAAGGGCAGATGGAGGTGGTGGGGGGCTGGGTCTATGCAGGTAGGAGGAGGGCCTGGGGGACTCCCGCTCTTAGAGCCAAGCTGGTCTGCTGCTGTAGGGGCCTGACAGCTCTGAGGCCTCACCTGCCCAAAAAGGAGGGGTCCTTCAGGGGAGTGGGGGCGGGCCTGGTGACCCGAGTCAGCCCGAGGCTGAGATCCCAGTAGGCCCTGGCTCAAACAGTTCTCCCAGGTTCTGACTAAGATGCTAAGATGCCTGTTTCTAGATGGGTCTCCCTCCCAAATGCAGAATCTCAGGGAGCCCCATGCCCCAGTCTCTAACCTTCCTGTTCAGGCCCTGGGAGTCGTGAGTCCCCCCCACCCCTCAAGACGACACTGTGATAATTCCCACAGAGCTCACACTGGCCTCTGGGGACCCATTCATGCTGACCCTCTATTCCCCACCGCCTGGGCCCCCAGAGGTGTGTGGGGAACCTGCTCAGCAAGGTAACTGTGTCCTGAGCCTCCTGCCTGCACCTCCCTGGTCTCCTTCTGGGGGCACACTCAGCTGCCCCTGCCTGGTTGTGAGTGTAGGGTTTCCACTCTTTCCCACCAGGCCCACAGGCCGGCACAGCTCTGACTGACTCACACCACGTTACAGGCTGCCAGGTGTGTTCTCGGGGTGGGGGGATGGGGGGAGACTGCTGACCTGGGAGCCATGCTGCTCCCTCTCTGCTGACCCTGCTCATCTCCCAGGGTGTTGGCAATGAACACTACTCAGCAGCCAGAGTGAGCACAGGCTCCTTTAGAGGGGTGAAGCACACATCCCCTTGCTCACATGCACAGACTTGCGTGCACACGCAAATGCAAGCACGCACACACACACACAACCCACTCCCATCATTCAGCGTGTACTCCAGGGCTCATGCTGCTACCCTTTGGTCTGGGCTGTGTGGCTACCATCCTGGTTCAGTGAAGGTGGGGGTGCTGGGAGACTCTGTGGTAATTCCCACAGAGCTCACACTCGGGACACAGTTACCTTTCTCTGGGAGAGAAAGGCCAGGCTGACCCTGTGCCACTGCAGGGCCAGGTGCCTTGACTAGATTTCTTGATGGACAGCCTCTCGTCCATCCTCTCACGCCAGGTGTCCTTTGATGTCTGGCTCAAGAGTCTTCAGGCTGCTGAAGCTGCTGACCTCTGACCTCAACCCACAACCTGTTCCCAGTCCCCTTACCCGCCACTGGGCTCTTGGGCTGGGCTCGTACTCAGGTGTTCTCTCTTCCTGTTACTTCTTCCTCCTAAGCACAGGGCAGGGCTTTCCAAGCCTCCCAGCCTCGGTGACTCCCCCACACCACTCTATCCCAGGGCGGGTGGCACCGTGTCTGTGTGCTCACAGCCGAACCACCTGAGTCTTGAGCAGGGCCCGACCCAGAGCAGCCATCAGCAAGGGTTTGAGAAACTAATGAAGTAATGGACCTGTCTCATCTCTTTTGAGTCAGGAAACATTTGGCAGTTGTTCACCTGAGCCTCAACATTCCATCTGTAAAGTGGGGTGACAGTGCCAGGGCCTGGGTGTCCAGTGAGGCTCAGGGCCAGCAAGGAGCTGCTGGGGCCCCAGGAGCCTCATCCCTGTTCTCTTACCCACCTGGTCCAGCCCAAGCATTCTCCCAACTCATCCTACAGGGACCCCCTTGTCAGTGTCACTTCTAAGACTTGAGAGGTGGGAAGGTGAGCCCCATCCTCAGTTCTTCAGAAGAGGGGATCTGGGGGCATCTCCACCCCATCTGCCTCCTAAGGCTGAGCTGGCGCTGGAGCCCCGGGTGTCTGTCCTGCTGTGGTGGGGGGGCAGCTGGCAGAGGGTGGATCTGGGTCCAGGCATCTGGGAGGACACCTGCATCCTCCTGCTGGCCCTGCCTCCCCACAGTCCCTGCTCTGTGGGGCCACCTCCAGTGGGGATGGGGGCCAGGAGAAGCAGAGACCAGAGCTGGAGGGTAAGACCCCTCCCTCCAAGCATGGGGGATGCGCAGCGGGTTAGGGCTGAGACTGAGAACAAAAAACAAAGGAGGAAAAAGAACTGAAGTGGGAAAATGAAGAGGCAGAGAGGCCAGAATGAGACTGTCCCACTTGGCTGCTTGAGGAGACACCCTCACTCTGGCTTCCACAGAAGTCCTAGAGGTGGGGGAACCTGCCTCAGGCTGCTGAGTGGGCAAGTGACAGAGGTGGGGTGCTGTACGTGAAGCCACCTGCCTGATCCCCCAGCCTCAGCACTGCTGTGGCCAGTCTCTGAGAGGTCCCTGGAGTGGGCTTGGTTGGAATAGAGCAGGGGTCTTGGGAGACCCCATCAGTGCTGGGCACAGCTCCTAAGGTAGCACCAAGGGCCAGGATAGACCCGGAGACGTGGGGTGGCTCGAACGCTGGTGCAGGGGACCAAAGCCATGGCCTTGAGGCCAATGGGAGTCAGAGGCGCTGGCAGGCCGAGGGGACTCAAAGCTCCCTCTCCCTCTGCAGCCTCCCCAGGCCCTTGAAGGTGCCAGAACATTTTCTTTCTGGGCCCCCTCCCTCCCTCTCTTCTTCCTTCCTTCCTCTTCTCCCGGTTTGGCAGGCTCTGTGCTGCTGCATCCCTGTCCCTGGAACAGTCAGCCTGTTCGTTCCGGGCCCCCACACACCAGACCCTCCTCCCTCCTCCCTCCTCCCTTCTCCTTCCTGCCTCCTGCCTCAGCACCTCCTGGTCCAGCCTCCAAGGAAAGTTTTGTATTTTTCCGACAATCCTGGCACAGCTGCGCTGCCCTGCAGGCGTCCCCTCTGGTCTGGGAGGCTTGTCAGAACCCAGACCTCCACTTACCATGGGCAGACAAGGACACCGGGGTGGTGGGAGACCCATCCTCAAAAGGCACGTATTCCTTACCAACACAGCCCCAGCTGCTATCCACATGGGGAAAATCAAGACCCGGAGAGGGACAGGGACTTGCCTGTCACACAGCAAGGAAGGCCAGAGCCAGGGCAGGAAGTGTGTCTGGGGTCTGGAAGAGAACTTCTGGCTCCCAGGGATGTCCCATGGACTCTTTCATGTCCTGTGTGACCATAAGTAAGTTGTCTCAGGCCCCACTCCTTCCTGGTCTCAGCCATCCCTCTCCTGCTCAGCCCCATGAGGTGATTTAGTCCTTCAGTCCACAAACAGTTCCTGAGCCAGACTTGGCAGGGACTGGGTCAGGCAGAGTCATGTTCCTGGTGGAGGTGGGGTGCGAGGATGTGTAGAGCACCCTATAAAATAGAAGGGCTTCACCATGCCCCCCACACAGGCCCAGAGAATGCCTGACTGAGTGTGGCCCTCGGCTGTGCTGCAGGCTGGGCTACCACCCTTTGTAACCTGTGGGGACCTGCTCAGCTCCTTGGAGCTCCCCAAAGAACACCCACAGCTGTTTCCTTCTGGAGAGTCTTGGGGGAGATCAGGCTGGCCCCCTCTGATTGACCCTGCTCAAGCTGGGACAAGGGAGGAGGGACCATCTGGGTATCGAAGGTGCAGATCTTGGGCCCACACACCAGGAGACGGATGTGATGGCAGGAACAGTGGCCGGGGGCTGAAGCCCAGAAGGCTGTCCATGGGCACCCTTCCCCTGGCAAGTGTCTCCTCAGCACAGCGGGTGGCTCCTGCCTGGTCTGAGCTCCGGGTGAGAAACTAGGTGCCTCCCACCCCGCATCTACTCGAGGCGCAGTGCGACCTCATGCAAATCACTCAGCCCCTCTGGCCCAGAATCCTTGTCACACAGCAGACAGATTGAACTAAATTTGTGTTCCTTCTCAACTTGGGTGGCATGGTAGAAGGTGAGAAAGAGGCGACTGGCACTGTGACCACAAGGCTTCCTCCTCACAGAATGCCCTGTCCACTCCACTGCCCACTAACCCTGTTCAATTAACAAACCCAGTGTTAACACCTAAAGACTCAGCTTTACTTCAAGTGTTTCCTGCTGCTCTCTGCATCTCCATTTAAATCTCTCCCCAGTGCTAGCCAGGCTGCTAGCATCTCAGCTCACTTCCGGCACCTTTCAGTGTTGTCTGAATCTGCACCCAGTGTCATCGCCTACAGGAAGGCTTCCTGGCCTCCCAGTGCCATGTTGATTGAGTCTTCTGCGTGCCTTGCCCCCTCTTGGAGCTCCTGAGCACAAATGGTGTCTTCCTGTGTGTCTGTGCAAGTTTGTGACTGTATGAGTGGAGTGTGTATGAGTGTGTGTGAACACGTAGATGTGTGTGTATGAGTGTGAACATGAGCATGTGTATGAGCATGTGAATATACGTATGTGTGAGTGTGAGCATGTGTACAAGTGTGAGTGTGCGCCGATGGGGGTGTGTCTTTCTGACCTGACTTAGCCAGGCTTCTCCTTGGACACCTTCTGGGGCAGGTCCTGAGTGTGCTCCGGGCACATGGAATCTGGTTCTGGCCCTGCAGTGACTGCCCGGTCAGAGATGCTCCAGCCCCCAAGTTGTGTGAAGCCAGTGTCAGGGAGGTGAGGAGGGACACCCTTGTGAAGAGGACAGCTCAGGGGGTCAAGAGGCAGCAGGTTGGCTATCTGGGCTTCTGGGCTCTGCTTATCAAGGGCAGAGCATGGAGGGCAGGGGAGATGGGGGAGGGATAAATCTGGGGGCCTGCTTTGCCTCAGCCAGGATGCCAGCCTCAAACCAGTGACTGTGGAGAGGAAGGAGGACAGTGGGGGCAGGGAAGGACAGGCAGATGAGGAGCGGCTTCAGGAATTGCTGTGACCCAGGCAAAGGGCCAGGTTTGAGGGCTATTTAGAGGGCCAGGGAAGAGGGAGCAGCTGGGAGTCCCCAGAGCTGGGTGGCCAGTATTGAGGGGGGGAAGTCTCACCAGGAGCCACTAGGGTCTGGTCCCAGGGAGTTAGAGCCTGGCTCTACCCCCAGCCACCTCACCGGGTCCCCAACCAGGCTGGGTGCCCACCCCCCGCCTCCCTAGACGCCCACCTGGCCTTGATCGTGCTGCAGGAGCCCCGAGGGTGGCTGCCCCTCAGTCAGAATGGACGATTCACTGCCATCTGGCCAAGGCCAGACGCCCCCGAGCTGGGGGTTCAAGATACCCGTGCCAGAGAGGGGGTGGCACCCAGGACAGCCCACCACCCCCGCCCTGGCGGCCCCACTTTCCTGCTGTTCTCTGCATCTCCATTTAAATCTCTCCCCAGCACCAGCCAGGCTGCCAGCATCCGCAGCTCACTTCCGGCGCCATAAAAGGAGAGAGACTGAGAATAGCTTGGCTGTGACGCGGCGAGGAGCTTCCCCACGCAGGCAAGCTCTGCGCCACCCTCCTGCCTGCCCGCTTGCCCGCCGAGGGGCTGCCCCGAAGGGACCCCAGCCCAGCCCCAGCCCCGATGGCCAGAGCCCCGGGCAGGGAGGCTAGAGGCCTAGGGTCATGCTGTCCCTGTCGCCGGCTCGTGTGTGACCCTGGCAGGTCACTATACTCCTTGGACCTCGGTTTCCCTGTCTACCTGCTTCCCATGGAGCTGGGCCCACAAGGGCAGGGCGGCTGGGCATGTTGCTCTCCCAAGGAGGTCTCAGCCCTGCCCAACAGCCCCTCTGGCTCCTGAAAAAAATCCCAGGGAGCCTTCCACAGGCTGAAGGCTCTGTGCAGGACTTGGCGTGGGGCTGACACATGGGGACAGTCATCGCTTACTGAGTACCTGCTGACACCAGGAATTGGGACAGCTGCTCCCCCATCACCTTGACCACCCTGCTGAACACCATCCCATGAGGGAGATGCTGAGACCTGGAGGGCAGCAGCTTGGGAAGCGACTGCCACCGGTGGACAACCCTCACCTGGCCTGAGTCCATGCGAACATCCATCCTGAAGGTCAGGGAAGGCTTCCTGGGGGAGGGGCCCACAGGGGCCTGTTCTATTGGGGGCAGCAAAAACCACGGAGCTTGAGTCCCCTTTGTCCATTGCCTTCTGGTCCCCTCGAGACCTTTGGTCCCCGCCACTCTTGTCTGGCTGGCAGCCCCTCCCCGATTTCCTGGCTCCTCCCTCCCCTCCCTGGGGTCTGGGACCAGAAACCCCTGTCCTTCTCAGCGACTAGCCTCCACTGGGCCAGCTCATCTGCTCCCACAGGCCACCTGAGGTCTCTCTTCTGGCCTCCTGACCTGGGTGCCCCAGGCCAGTCTTCTCCCACCTCTTCCTATTTTCTGGGTGTGGGTACTTCCCTGTCCACTCCAGGCCTCCCAGGCACCAAGCTTGATCCACGATCCTCAGCCTCACCCAGAAGGTGCTTCCTTCAGCCCAGCATCTGCGGGGCCAAGGCCTCTTCAGCACCCAGGTCTTAGCTCCAGTCCCTAATGGGATATCTTCTATGGGCCGCCATCAGCTAACTCTGGGCCTCACGCTTGTGTGAGACTCAGTGTGAGTGGAGGGACATGTGATGGAATGCAAGACTGGTGACCTGGGCAGTCACACAGGGCCCTGAGTTTAGAAGGGCCCATGCTGGGCTTAACGCTGTGCTATTTTACTGATTTTTGAACAAAGGAATCCAATAATTATGCCACCGGTCCCTCCTACTGGGGTCCTCCTTTTGGTCCTGGGATGTGGGTGGAAGGGTCCACTGTTCTGTGGTCCCTCTGGAAAAGCAGGTGACAGCAGAGGTCATGTGGGAGAAATGGAGGGGCCCTCCCTCATGTATCTCCCTGAACAGCTGGGAAGGCAATCACCATCACCCCATTTTAAAGCACAGATGAGACAAGGGGTTTCCCATGAACCTGGTCCATGGTAAGTGGCTGAACAGTGATTTGAACCCAGAATCTCCTGGCTCTGAGGTCACCAGTACTTATCCTACTGTCCCTGTCATTTGCCGCTATCAAGATCTGGGACTGGGCTCCTCAGGAAACCCTCTGAGCCTCAGCTTCTTCAGCTGACCATGAGGGTTGCCTGCTGGGGAGGTTCAGCCTGGGTCAGAGGCCAGGGCAGGTCCACATGGGCAGGACCAGGGCCAACATGTCTCATGGCTGGCATGAGCCCACACCCTTCTGCTGCATTCTTGGTCCTAGGATGCATAGGGTGACAAACCTGGGGCCTGGGAGGGTGTAGCAGACTGAGCTGCCTGAGGGGGGCCACAGAGCCCTGGGGGAGACTAGGAGAGCTTGGAGGTGGGGGATGGCTGGAAGAAATGCATCTGTCTCTCTGACACCCACCTGTCCCACTATGTGCTGGTGCTGAGCCTCTGAGGAGCTGGACGGTGGGTTAGGGAAGGTCAGGATGGGGTCAGCCCCTGCCCAGACCACTGAGCCTTTCTCATGCCCTGGAGTGGGGCTGGGCAGGTCTCCTCTCCCTTCCCCACCTCTCTGCTGCTAGCAGAGCTCTGTGACCCTGAAGGGTGAAGAATTGCCAGATCACAGAGAAGGGGTACACAGCCAGGCTATAATGGGATGCATGCCCTCCATGTTGCCCCATTGTGCTTCTTGAATTTCATGGATTCTTCTAAAAATGCATTTATTTCTTCCCTGAACCGAGTCATACTAGGGATCTAGGCCTGGATAGAGAGGTAGCACTTCAGAGGATGAGCCCTCTTAAAACAAGGACCAGGGGCATCAGAGGAAGGTGGGCTGTCGGTTCAGTCTGGGTCAGGACACACAGTGGGGCAGAGGCTACTCTGGTCATGGCTGGCCAGCTTGGGCCCCCATCCTGGACCAGGCACCTGGCCAGTAGCCTGAGCCTGCCCTGTGTGCAGGTGTCTTTCTGCAGGTGACATCCTTGCTCAGAAGGGCCCTGGAACTTCTGGACAGCCATTGGGTCCCCCCTTGAAGGGGCTGTCGCAGCTTCAGCTGCTCTCCTAGACCGTGAACCCCTGCCTGTGTCCTGGACTGACCAGATGTGCCTTAGAGGCCCAGGTGCCACCTACTGGCTGTCTTCTGTCTCACTTTGTCTCTTGCTTTTTCCCTGGGTCTCTGTCTCTGTCTTTCTAGCTCTTCCCCATCTTTCACTCTCTGTCCCTGCCCGTGCCTCTGTCCTGCCTCTCTGTCTCTCTCTGACTCTGTGTCTCTGCTACACTCCATGTCTCACTGTCTCCAGGCCTGATGCCCTCTGGATCTGGCCACTTGACCCTCCCTGCAGACATGGACCTTGTGGTCATGCTGCACCCCAGAGGGAGCAGGGAAGGAGGGGAAGGCGGGCCTTTCCAGGGGACATGCGGACTGAGGTCGGGGGTGCAGATCATGGGCCCAAGAGGAGAGAAGAAGGAGCAGGTGAGGAGGAGGGTCGGCACATCCTTGGGGGCCAACTGTTTCCACCACCCCCACCACATCCCCAAAGATCTAGGCGAAGGTCTCCGGCCCCTGGGGGATGCCCCCTTCAGCTTCAGCCCACCCTCGGATGTGTGCCCCACCCCAGAAACACACCTCCTGAGCACCAGTAATGTGGGCTTTTCCACAGCCTCCCAGCAGCCTCTTCAGGCCCCAGACCCACTTCTGGAGGCCGATCCCCTGTCTGGAATGCACTCTTTCTTTTGCAAAACCTTCTGAGCTAAAAAGCCTCAGATTTCCTTCTGCCCTCCCTGGGGAGCTGAGAACATGGAGATTCACTTGAGGGACTGTGGGCTTTGAACTAGGTCCGCCCCTTACCTCATGGTCCCACCCTCCCTTCAGGGGTGCTCATCTACCCTAGAATCCCCAAGATGTCCCCATGACCTGCTTTGTCGCCCACAGCTGGGTATGGCGGGGAGTTAGCAAGGGGTCTTATCTCCCTCCAATCTAGAATGGCCCATTCCAGGGTCTAGGCAGGGCCTGGGAGATTGGCAGAGCCCAGGGTGGAGGTCAGACAAACCAGAGTCTGGGCAGAGGCCCAGAGACAACAGAGAGAACAAGGGGAGATGGGCAACTTGGGGCAGACAAGAGGTTCTCAGGGCCCAGGCACTTCCACCAGAGCAGAAGGTGGAGACACAGGCTCTGGGCTCTCAGCCCAGCTTCAGGACCCATCTGAGCCAGCTCAGGCCAGAGGTGGAAGGCCCTAGAGGGCCCATCACCACTGCAGCTCCCACTGCCCTATTTTCATAAGCAGGAGCCACTCCAGGACTCGTTAATCTCCCAGGTTTCCCGCTGTCCAGGAGGAGCGAACTGGAAAATGGGCCCTGGATTTATAGCCAAACCACCTTACAAGGAGACTGCATTATTCTAAATAAAAATAAAAGGCTGTCTCAAGAGCCCATGAGGATCTCTGTGTCTCCACTGGGGAAATGAGGCTGAGACTAAGGGAGGGAGGAGGTGTCCTGGAGAGCCCTCTCCAGCAGGCCTGTGGACTCCAGGTGCTACGTGAGGTAGAGAGGGGTCAGATGCCAGACACTCCTCTCAACAAGGAGCATGCCCTCTCAGGAGCTGCTCAGGCTCTGTTCTGAATTTTGAGTATCTCATTGGAGAGTAGCCATAATCGTTGCCATAATCACTTCCTCCAAACACTGCCAGTCATCATCTCCATCACCATCAAAACCACTACATCTACCACCATCACCCTCATCACCATCCCAACTGCCATCAGCACCATAGCCTCCCATACTGCCACTACCAACACCGTCATCTCTATCACCACCACCATCACCACCATCAACACCATCACCATCATAACTACTACCATTATCATCGCCACTACTACCATCACCACCACCATCACCATCACTGCCATCACCACCATCACCAACAACACCATTACACCACCAACAATAACAATATCCCATCGTCACCACCATTACCACATCATCACCACCACCATCATTACCATCATCACCACTATCAACACCACCACTATCACCACCACCACCACTATCGCCATTACCAACCTCACCATCATCACCATCACCACCACCACCACTATTACCATCCCCACCATCACTACCACCACCATCACCAACAACAATCCCATCACACCAACAGCAATAACAATATCCCATCATCACCACCACCACCATCACCATCATCAACACCACCACCATCACCACCACCACCACTATTGCTATTACCAACCTCACCATCACCACCACCACCACCACCACCGTTACCATCCCCACCATCACTACCACCACCATCACCAATAACAATCCCATCACACCAACAGCAATAGCAATATCCCATCACCACCACCATCACTATCATTACCATCACCATCACCACTATTATCATAGTCATCACCACCTTCATCACCATCACTTTCATCATGCCATCAGCATCATCCCCATTCCCACCATATCCAACACCACCACCATCACTAAAACCAGCACCTCGCCACCACCACCTCTTCTACCGCCACAGCCATCATCACAAGCGCCACACCACCCTACACCATTACTGCCACCCCACCTTCATTCCTGTAGCCAACATCTCCATCCACAAATACTACTATTGTCATCCCACCACAGCCACCATTGTAACCATGACCTCTCCCAACATCATCACCACCTCCCACACCCTCGCCATCCCCACCATTACTCCCATCAGTCCTATAACCACCAGCAAAATCACCACCTCATCACCACCTTTACAATCCACCAGTACAACTACCATAACCATCATCACCACTGTCACCATTGCTACTGTCTCCACCACCATCACCACCATATCCATATCCATGACTTTCCACTGTCACCACCTCATACCTGTGACCTCTTCACCATCACCAACACTATAGCCATGAGCTCCCACTGTCACCACCCCATACCCATGAGCTCTCCGCTATCACCACCCCATACTTGTGATGCCCCACTGTCACCACCACCACAGCTAGGACCTCTCTGCTGTCACCAACCCAATACTAATGACCACTCTGCTGTCACTACCCCATGCCTGTGATCACCTTGTCACCACCCCCACCATAGCCATGACCTACCCACTGCTGCCACCTCCACATTCATGACCTCCCCACTATCACCAACACAATACCTGTGACCTCCTACTGTCACCACCACAACTATGACCTCTCTGCTGTCACCAACTCAATACTAATTACCACTCCACTCTTACCATTCTCATGCCTGTGACCTTCACTGTCATCCCATCAACACAACACATTCCACCACCACCCACACGATTACTGTTATCACCACCCACCATCACTGTCATCATTAACATCTTTTTTTTGAGTTGGAGTCTCACTCCATCACCCAGACTTGAGTGCAGTGGCACGCTCATGGCCACCCCAGCGTCAACCTGCTGGGCTCCAGCGATCCTTCCGCCTCAACCTTCCAAGTCGCTGGAACCATAGGCACATGCTGGAACCATAGGCACAGCTAGTTTTTGATTTATTGTAGAGATGAGGTCTCACCAAGTTGCCCGGGCTGGTCTCAAACCCACAGGCTCAGGCTATCCACTTGCTTCAGCCTCCCAAAGTGCTGTGATTACATTCTGACATCACTGAGATCTTAATCACCATTACCACACCATAGCCATTGCCATCTCCCCCTCACAGCCACCATCTTTATTATCAAAATGATCACCTCCAACCCCAGGTTGCTTTCTGGCTGGCAACGGATTTTACTGGTGAGGGGTAAGAACTTTTAGGGAAACAGTTCTGGGTTCAAATTCCATCGTGGTCATTATTGGCTATGTGACCTTGGGGGTGCTTTTAAATCCACTTTCCTAATCCACAAAAAGGGCAGGATATTCCAATTCAGACCTTTGTTTCCAGTAACACGACAACCTTTAGAGTGACATATTGGCTGCCAGGCCTCCGGAGGCATTGGGTGGGGCTGTCAGTCCATGCAGTCCTGTCTTCACACTCCAGCCACTTGAAGGGTCTCCCAGGAGTACATGAATCCTGGTGTGATAGTCAGCTGATCCAGTGATCAAAACCATGCCTTATTGCCAAGTCTCTGGAAGATTCCACTTTGTTTTAAAGATCAGATGAAACCACAGCTGGTGAGTGGCTTTTGGACCCAGGGTGGGGCGTGGAAGACTTTGGCACTTTTGAGAAGTTTTTTGAGCATGCCCTTGTAGGAGCCTGGCTTCTAGCACCTGTTTCTGCAAACAAGCTGAAAAGACATTTCTGTTACTGGAGAATAAAGTTCCTCTTTCTGTGAGTATCAGAGCTGAGGGGGTCTGACGAATTGTGAAGCATTTGCTGAAATACACGTTTTGTGCTCTGACATCTGAGTTTCAATCCTCTCAACGTGAAATAGCTGAACAACAATAGGGAACCTGCCGGTGCTGCAGTAATCATAACAATGACAGTAGCGCCCACTTGAGAGGCAGTAGTGAGGATTAAATCTGGCAGTGCCTGGCCCAGAAAGTGCTCGCTTAACGCTTAATGTTAACTCTCTCTCTGCCGTGATTATGGTGATTATCATCGAGGTGGGTTTGCACTGGCCCTGGGCTGGGTCTCCTACTGAGAAACTCCATGGCCATCAAGCTTCTCCCAGGCCAAGGTAGGCACGTGGCAATGGCAAGAGGGTGTGGGAGAAATGAAGGGCACTTCCAGAGAACTATATGGACCACTCAGTCCTGGCTGAGCCCAGCTTCCAGATGGCAAGGGAACCCGAGACCCGGGAGCAGCCGTGGGCCGCAGCAGCTCAACCTTGTGAAATTCACGCCTTTCAAGCTTCCCAAGGACAACGCTTTTTTGTCTTTGTTTCTAACTAAAAAGTATTAGTCAGCAGAGCGGCACGTCTATGAAGAGTGCCAAGTGACATTGCTGCACTGCTTTATTAATAAATGGGAGGGGCAGATGCTTGCATTGCTGGAGACTGGCATGGCATCTCTTTCTCATAGAGTAACGACTTACAAGCACAAGCTACTTCCCAAAAGAACTAATTACTCATTCGACTTTTCTCCTGGCTTCCTTTCCCTCTCTCACCTCCCACCCTCCTTCTTCCATCTTTGGTTGGGTTAGACAGAAAAGAAAAGTTATCTTGCAGAAGCACTGTGTATGACTGACCTCCACCTCTGCCTTATAGGTGAGGCTGCTGAGGCTGAGACAGGAGGGGTCCCCAGAAAGAAGAAGAAGAAACAAGTCCAGGACCCAGTAGTGTGACTCCCCAGCCAGGGCAGGGGCCTGTCACGCCAGGTCGGCTCACCCCAAGTCCCAGAGGGCAGGAAGCTTCTAGGGGCAGGGAGGTCCTGGAGGCAGGGACCCAGCTTTGGGCTCAACCTGGTCATTTCCCTTCTATGGCCTCAGTTTTCTTCAATGGACAATGGGCACATTCAACCATGGTGTCCTTTTTTTACCCTCCCATCACCCGCCCAGTGTAAAATCTGAGGACAAGTGGAACACCAGGAATGGAGTTGATACCTCTTCTCCACATGGCTCTGGACAGAGGCAACAACACATTATCTCCCTTAAGGGCCTATGGGAAAACAAAGAGACAGGAAAACTGAAGCAGACAGTCATGCTGGCCCCTTAGCCTTTGTCTCTTTCTGGGCTGATGGCAAGGGGCCTAGGGACATACCACAGCCTCCAAGGTGCACAGCCTATAAGAGACTGGAAGTATTTCCCCTGCCAGCCCATGCCTAGGACAGGGGCTTGGAGGAGGCAAGGCCTAAGTTTGTGGACAGTCAGCTAGGCCAGTTTTGGGAGGAGTTCTCAGTCCACTCAGGGCCCAGAGTCGACAGTCAACGATCACCATCCTCATTACCACCTGTGACATCCACCTGGCCAACACCCTCATTGCCTCCACCAAAACCAAATACCACCATCACCAATATCAGTGTTGGCACAAACACCCTCATCACCACCCCCAATCCATCACACTTGACATCACCGTGGTGGTGGTTACTGTCATCACCCTCACTGTTATCATCATCACCGTCACTGATAGTGATCATCACCATCCACACCATCATCACCGTCATCACCGTCATCACCATCATCATCACCATCACCAGCATCATCGACATCAACAGTACCATCGATATCTTCACTGATATCATCATCCTCCTCACCGTTATCGTCAGTATCTTTGACAGTGATATCACCATCATCACCAGCACCAGAAACATCATCGGCATCACGGATAGTGATATCATCACCATCATCACCACCATCATCGCTACCACCGGTACCACCTCCACGTCATCACAACCGTCACGATTATCGGCATCATCCCTAGAACGATCACCTTTCCCATCATCACCTTCATTAACATCATTTTTTGTCATCCTCACATCTTTATTATCACCATCAACATCATTATCATCGCAGCTACTACCCTCACCACTTTCATCACCGATGCTCTCCATACCCAATTCCTACCTCTATCATGGCTATACTCATCATCATATAACTGGTTTTTTTTTTTTTTGAGTTGGAGTCTCACTCTGTCGCCCAGACTGGAGTGCAGTGACCGCTCCCGGCCACCGCAGCCTTGACCTGCTGGGCTCAGGCAATCCTTCCACCTCAGCCTTCCAAGTAGCTGGAACTACAGGCGCACAGTACCAGGCCCTGCTGATTTTTTGGTTTATTGTAGAGATGAAGTCTCACCATGTTGCCCAGGTTGGACTCAAACCCACGGGCTCAGGTAGTCCTCTCGCCTCGGCCTCTCACCATGCCCAGTCCATTGCATAACTGTTAACACCATGATCAGTATCATTTGTTCTTCGACCCATCCACCTTGTCTACCCATAAACCTTCCAGTCTTCCATCCAGCAATCCATTTCTCACCTAACCTCTTCCCCACTCAAGGACGGATATACCCAAATTGCAGTCTTCACAGAATCCAACATGTGCAGACCTCTGGGGCACAGCCCTCTAGAGGCTTTAACAGTGTGCCCTAAGGACTCTGTGGCCCAGAAAGAGGGATCACTAGAGCTGCTGAGGGCTTCAGGAAAAAGTCTGAGCAGCTGCTAAGGAGTAGGTGAAGGGAAGGTGACTGGGCAGTGGACATTTGTGTGAGCCTGGAAGATTCTGTCCCATGGAGCCTTTCCCCTAAGTGCAGGCAAGGGTCAAGAGTCCCAGCTGGGAGGAAGGAAAAAATATAGCTCTGGGCTGAGATGGAATGTCTGTGAAGGCCTGAGGTCCCAGGGCATAGAAGCTCTCCTTCCATGTCCTCAGTGAGAGGATCAGAGTCGTTGCTGCACTCCTAGTTTGTCACATTGATTTATCTCTTTTTTTCAACAACTCTTTTTTGGTGATTTCTTTTGGTGACAGCAGGCATTGGGAAGTCCAGAGGTGACTCATCACATCCCCGTTGTTGAGAAGTTCCTCGTATGGTTGAAGATGGCCCTTATCAGAGGTAGGAGGTGTTGAGAGCTTAGGGGTTTGGGGACAGCTCAGCCTTGGGGAGGGGCAAACACACTGAGCACTGGGACACCAGGGAAAGGAAACTGGGCAGCCCCCCACCAGTCATCTCACAGAGAGGAAAACTGAGGTGTAGGCATGTGTCCAAGGGAGCAGGGAGCCCCATCTCCCCACTCCTTCTACCTGCCCTAGCACCCAGAACTCCCAAGGCCAGCACCCCCAGTTTGGTGCGAGCCGGCTGAACACAGAGAAGAGGCACCCAGGGATAGGGGCTCACAGAAGCACCGCCCAGATGTCTTGGCACCCTAGCTCCCAACTGCAATCCAGGTTGGGAGGCCAAGCCTCCCACCTCTCCCCACTCTCTCTCTGAGCTCCCTCCCCAGGGAAGCCCACCTCTTGATCTGGCAGAAAAATTGTGCTGGGCCTGAGTCTTAAAAAATGTTGGCCAAGGTTGTCCTGCTCAGGCCTGGCTCACTGCTCCTCGCCCCCTACTTGCCTCCATGTGGGGGGTCATAGGGTCCAGCCCTGAACAGAACAAATCTGGCCATGTGCAGAAACCTGAGAGACCTGTGAGGAGTCACCTCCCGACCCCATTTCAGAGGCAGGCCCTGGGGGAGCACTCTCGGACCCACGGACCCTGAGCAGCCATGGTCAGCCCAGCTGAAAGCGGCCATCCTTGCCACTCCGGCTGCCAGGAAGCAGAGCTAGTATGAGGCCTTTTTTCGGGAAGGCACTGGGCAAGCGTTTGTTTTTTCAGTCAAGCTAACTTCAGCTGGTCTCACCCGAGGCTCTGGAGAATGAAACACATGAGGTTCCCTGGGGGCGAGGGCAACCTTCCAAACCCAGCGCCAGTGGGTCAGTGGCCTCCGTGGGTCTGGGGAGGGGCACAGCATCCCTCACTGATGAGGGCAAATCTCCAAAGAAAAGGGAGGCAGTGAGCTGGTGCCAGCTGGCACTCACGACAGCTGGGGGCGGGTACCATACAGCCGAAGTTATACATTGCTGGGTGACAAATCACCCCAGAACTTAGTAGCTCCCAAAGACAACAACTCCTTGTATCCTCTCTGTTTCTGTGGCTCAAAGATTTGGAAGGGCCGGGTCTCTCTGAGGCTGTAATCCTGCTGGGGCTGTGTCATCTGAAGCTGGACTAAAGACATCTCTGTCTAAGCTTGTTCACACAGCTGTTGGCAAAGGCTTCAGCTCCTCACTGGTTGTTGTCTGGGCTACTCATGGTGGTCAGAGGAGAGAGAGAACTCAGCAGGAGGGAAATCCGGCTCATTCTCCCAAGTCAAGAGCAGCCCCCCACACCATGCCAGCAGCAGGGACAATGACTGCATCCAGGTGGGAAAGGAGGGAGTGGAGGTTGGTCCTCTTTGCAAAGAACAGCCAGAATCATGAGGGTTTCTGAGAGCTGGGACAAAAACTCTGAAGAGGCAAACAAAACCCAAGATCCAGGCCAAGGGAAGAAATGGCCTGGGTCTGGTGTCCCGCAAGTGAGGGGATGTCTCTATTTTCTTCCTTCTCCTTAGCTCCTCTGTACTTATGTAGATGGGGTGGGCCTTGTCCCTCTCTGAACCTAGAGGGAGGGACCAGAGGGGAGAGGAGGGGGACCCCACTCCTGGGAGGCAGAGGCCTGTCCCCAAGCCACCTCTCGTGTGACACAGAGCAGCATCACTCCTTGAGCTTCAGTGTCCTTCTCTGCTGCTTCCTGGGAAGGAGCTCTCTGAGGGTGGAGATGAGGGAACAGAGACTGGGATGAGCAGGGGTGGAGTGAGAATGGACCCAGCACTTCTGATGTGCTGGTTCCAGCAAGGTTCACATGGTGAGCCTTCCAAAGTTTCTTTCCCATCCACACACCCTGTGTGCCCCCAACTCTCTCCCAGTTGAGCGAATGTTGGCCTCCTTCCCACTACCCCAGGGCAACAGAGTGCCCAGGGTCAGGTTCAGGCTCTGCCAATTGCCCAGAGAAGGGGCCACTGTCTGAGGTCATACAGTACCCAGCAACAGTGCCAGCAAGAACCTCGCCGATGTGCACACACATAGGTCACACACACACTTCAGCTCCCTAATAGGGCTCAGGCGCAGACCACAAGCTGTCCTTGTCCCTCCCTGTCCCTTGTGTGGGCATCTATGACCACGTAGCCGACATCTCTTCTTCAGCACCTGGGACAGGGCAGCTTGAGCTGCATGGGGAGGTAGCCAGCCCTGAAACCCCTAAGCAGGCGGCTCATCCTGAAAGGTGTTGAAGTTGTCAGAGGGGCAGGCGGTAACCCATGTCATGGGTCAACAGAGCGGCGGCCATGCCAGATGAGTGCCAGGGAACCCCATACTGAATGCTGCCCCACTGGCTCCAGCACCACGGTCCCAAACCTCAGGGTCATAGCCCCACTCCCTCCAACCCATGACCTCATCCCTGTCAGCTCCAGGGTCCCTGCCCTCAGGACCATAGCCCCATGCCCTCCAGCGCCATGGGTGGTCCTACCCCCTCCAGCACTCTGGCTACAATCCCCTCTCTAGGTCTCTCTGGCCGTTTGCTCTAGGTCTCTTCCACTCTCTCCACCCCCAGTTCCAGTGTCCCCTTAGGGAAGATTTGTGCCTCTTTGCATGCCCTCAGCCCCGAGGTTGAACAGCTATCTCCACAGGGCTCCTGCATGTGGGAGCTGTGGCCCTGTGGTCCCAGGGTCATGCAAGAGGTCTTTGCCCCTGAAGGCCACCTCCAGCTGGGCTTTCTGGGATCACCCCATTGTGAGATCTCCCAATGTCCTGTCAAACCTCAAGTCAGCCTCCTGATCCATGCAGTAAAGAGGCCACCGGCCCCACCCAGCTGGTGTCTGGGAGAGACCAAAGCCCAGGTCCTCCTGGTCTCTGTGGGTGGAACCTGGAGTGGAGGGATCTTGGCTCTGGTGCCCAGTGGCCCTGTCCACCCCAGGAGAAGGCACAGCCCAGGGTGCTCTCCTAGGAGCCACCTGGACAGGCTGGGGATCCAAACTTGGGGGACCCTAGTTGTGATGTCCCTCTCCTTATTCTGCAATGAATCAGCTCCCTAGTCACCATCCACCCCCAGGACTGCTAACTGTCACCCAGAATACCTGTAACCCCACTCAGTGTAGAGCTGTGGTGGGGGCGATAGGAGGGGAGTGTGGCCAGGGACAGTACTGAGTCACTGTGGGGGAAGAGGCAGGAAGACAGCTCTTGGCTTCTCTGAGTTGAGCAAGACACACACACGGGGCCGTCCAGCCCCCTGGTCATGTCCTCTGGATGATCCAGAGGACAGGGGTCAGTGCTCAGTCTGTAACCAGAACCAGGGCTCAGTCTGTGACCAGGATCAGAGTTCAGTCTATGACCAAGATCAGGGCTCAGCCTGTGACAAGAGTCAGGGCTCAAATTGAGACCAGGACCAGGGCTCAGTGTGTGACCAGGATGAAGGCTCAGCCTGTGACCAGTGTCAGGCCCAGTGTATGACCAGGATCAAGGCTCAGCCTGTGATGGGAGTCGAGGCTCAGTGCATGTCTGGGGTTGGAATATAGTCTGCGGCCAGGGCTGGATCTGATCCTCCTGTCCTTACTATTAGAAGGAACCATTATTAGGTGCCAGCTCTGGCTTCTGGGCCTCACTTGGCACAGCTATCCCTAAACTGTACTTGCTGCAGGACCTCTGGTGTGCCTTGCCTGCATCCTCACCTGCAGCCAGGACCCTCGTTTATTCCCTCCAGTATTTATGAAACACATGCCTACCCTGCGCTGGGCATGCAGGTCACCCAGATGAATTTGCCTGGTCTAAGCCAAGAAGCAGTGAGACCTTCCAGTAGATACTGTGGAGCAGTGCTTGAGTGCTGAGGTTTCTATGGGGTGGAGGAGCCAGAGGGAGGTGGGAAGGCTGGAGGGTGGTCTGGGTGAGACAGGGACCTGAGGTGTCCATGGGAGAGCACAGGAGAGGCAGGAGAGGAGGAGATCAGAGGAGGGATGGATGGAGAGGTGGGGTCTTCTGAGCTGTCATTGGGAATGAGGACAGAGAAAGAAGAGAGAGAAAGCGACCTCCAAAAGGGTCCTGGAGGCCGCAGCGAGGCCTGGCTTGGGTCTTTCTCCCCCTGTGAGGCCTCAGTGAGCCTCTAACCTACCCCAGGGCCCCCGTCCACCCTGTCCCATGGTGCAGCTTCTAATGCCTGCCCTTCGCACACACACTGGGTTCCCCAAGAGAACCCACCTCCCCCAAGAGCTGGACCAGACCCAGCTTCCCTGAGCCCCTGCGTCAGTGGCACTTGGTGCCCTCTGCTGGCCAGGAATCCAGACACTCCCCCCCCACACACACATACCCTGACCCTACCCTGGGGGAGCAGCCATGGTTCATACTATCCAGGGCAGGGCAGGAGGATACAGCCCACGGGCAAGAGTCCACTTTCTTGCTGTGGGCCAGCCTGGGTCAAAGGCCCAGCAGTGAGGGGCTCTGGGAGGCCCTCCTGTGAGGCTGAGGCCTCTGGGAGCTTCGAAAAAATGTGACTTCTTCAGCCCTGCCAACCCTTTGCTGTGGGTGCAGTCCCTGTCCCCGAGTCACCCACATGAGAGTTTTCTTGCTTTCTCTATGACCAGTCTCTTTCCTCTGGATCTTTGCTGATGAAGTCCACCTTCCCACAGGGCCACCATGCCCAACCTTCCAGAGACCTTCCTGGACCCTCTGGCCCTGACCCCACTGCGATCTTGCGTGCCACGCAGAGCCTGTGGCTATCTATGCAGGTGCCAAGAAAAACCGGCTCCCTGGGAGGTTCTGGATGAAGACACCTGCACTTCCTGAGGAGGCCAGCAGAGGGCACCATGCAGCCTCAAGTCAGAGAACAAAGAGGTTCCTGGTCTCTGAGGGGAGTCTGTGGCCCCAACCCTGCAGAGGTGGCACCCAGCAGTACATGCCCCTGCTCCGGGGGGGGGGGTGGGTAAGACTGAAGAGATGACATTCCCACCTGGCAGGCTAGCCTCCACCTGGGGGGAAATCCAGACACCAGGA